GCGAATTTGATAACGAATTTGAAAACGTTGCCGGTAAGTGAATACTCGTGCGAATTTCAATCGTCACCTAAGACTGCAGCAATTTCGAAATGCCGGAAGTGGTTCTATCCAAAAATCATTGGCGACTTGTACCAGGCAGGCCCGTGCAATCATGCTTTTTTGTAGTATTTCGTACTGTTGCAGGATCGTTTGGGACCACAATAGCTAAAATTTATGACATACTGGTCCTCGAAATTCGAGAAGTTAATCGTACAACTACCAAGTGCATTTGGAAAAGGAACATTCTGTTAAAATTTCAGCTTTTCTGGTTCCGGAGTTAGTGAATTTTCCCGCCAAAGATTTTTTCAGGGCCGTACGTGAGAACCAAGCATAACGGGAGGCTGAATTTGAATTTTTTAAGTTGTAGATGAGTAGGAACATCCAGTCTTCCAGTTTTTCTGATTCCAGAATTGGCCGTTTTCCCGTTAGGAGCCTTCACGGGGTCGTACGCGAGAACTACGCATAACTGTGGGCTGGTTTGAAACCTTAGGATTCTGAGTGGAAGGACATAATCGCAAAATTTCAACTTTTAACTTTCTGGTGCCCGAGTTAGCGATTTTCCGGCCAGAACTTTCACGCGCTAGTACGCTGGACCTAGACGTGCTTGTGGGTTGACGCCGCAATCCTGGGATGGCGCTTGGCCGAAGAATTGACTGGCAAAATTTTGGCGCTGGAGCTTGCCTGGTTGCAGAATTAAAATACCCAAACGAACGTAGATACACACAAATCCACATACACACACACACACACACACACACACACACACACCGGGATCACCACAGTATGCGTTTTTGCATTTGCATAAATGCAGGAACGCATATCAGCTACGGACATGCACAGCAATCGAAATGTCACAAATTTCATTACTCTTTAGACTCTGCATGCAGTGAATAATTTTTTCTCGAAAAAACCAAGAACAAGCATTTTTCATTTAAATATCCAAGCCAGAGGTAAAGCCAGTGAGCAAAAGGTCGACCTCATCATTTCACTACGAAATAGATATTATCGGTCTATTTTAGAAATTTTGTCAGTGTACTGGAAAATAATTGACTAACGCACGGGCTGCCCGTGCGAAGATGCGTTTTTTTGCATAGCTCCCCGCAGATTTTTGCCGCTAACGGCACTTGTTGTTTTTCCGGCAAATGCTTCTAGCTAAAGGAATTTCAGACTGACCGCCAGGACTGTCAGGAAACATCCCTTCAAAATTCCAGTCTTCTAGCTTCTTAGATTCCCGAGTTAGCGAATTACCAGAAAAAAATTTTGGCGGGCCCGTACGCGAGTGCCACGCCTACTTGTGGGCTGGGTATGAGCTCATTAATACATACTCGAACGAGGAGCATCCCCTTAAGATTTCAGCTTTCTAGCATTTCAGATCCTGAGTTATGAAATCACCCAAAAAAAAATTTTGGCGGACCCCTACGCGGGTACCACGCTTACCCGGGGACTGGGTACTTGAACGACGGACATCCTCTTAAGATTTCAGCTTTCTAGCATTTCGGATTCCCGAGTTATGAACTCGCCCGAAAAAAATTTTGGCGGACCCCTACGCGGGTACCACGCTTACTGGGGCTGGGTTTGAGCTTATTAATACCTACTTGGACGGGGAGCATCCCCTTAAAATTTCAGCCGCAAGCATCTCTGGTTCCCGAGTTAGCAGCTTACCCGCAAAAAAATTTGACGGGCTCTTACGTGGGTAGCACGCGGGTAAGATCGCCCATTTTGAGGATGGGGGCCGTACGCGCATGTAGGTTAAGCTGATCCTTGCTTGGCTGAGCTGAGCTGAGTTGAGCTGACCTACAAAAGATCTACAAAAGCTACAGGGCTGAAACTTAAGTTCCCAAAGTTTCAGCCCTGTAACTTTTGTAGGTCTCGAGATGAAAAATCGGTACAAAGGCCCAGCGCACAACATAGACACACATGTAGACAGCTTCTCGTCAATATGCGTTTTCCGTATTGCATAGCTGCAAAAAACGCAAAAAAACGTCTGAACTTGCAGCAGCGGTGAGGACGAATGAGAGCGGGGATACTCAGCGCATAGTTTAACTTCTCATGTTTTTATGAATTCGATTTTCTTGGATATGGCATTTTTTGAAGTTCCTTCGTTAAATCTGCCAATTCTGGATCCACTTGTTTGCATTTGAACCATTCCCAGCAGTTTTTGTTACTAATACTCTATACTTATGGGTATAGCTTTTCGCATTTTTAAACACCCATCGAAGCACAATGCACCATGTCTTTCCTCCACCGCTCTTCCCCTTGTCGCTGACTTTTGTACCCTCAGCAGTGCCTGCTTTTTCGTATGTGTGAAATAAGTTGAAAATCAACGCAGGAGAAAAGAGTGAGAAGTATCGTGAACTGAAACTGAAAGAGATGCAAATGGATGAATTTCTGGATGCATATGATGACCTGAAAGCCAACGAAGAAGCCCGAATCGATTGCGCCTCTAATGAAATAATTCGCACCTTAGAGCTCATTTCAACGAACGGCACAAAGCTGGACCTGAGTAGCCAAATCACAGATATTGACAACTCCGCATTACAGGGCAATGAAAATGCTTCTGCTTACGAACTCAAGGACTGTATGTTGAATTTTTTTTTCGAGTAGGGCTGATTACTTGAACACACAAAAATTTTCGTCTTCTAGCAAAATGCTTTTTGAATAAGTTTTGATTGTTTTAAAACAGGTTAGCTGTGCTGTTGTCGAAAGGACAGAGTCAGCAAGAAATTATCTCGCAGCATACTGTGACCCTGAATGTGCGAGTGAAGGCCGGTGAATGGTTTGTCTGAGAATTGAGAAATTGACTAAAAAGCATGAAATCCTCAAACGCTATGTTCTATCATGTGCAGACAGAAGAAGCTGGAAGGTATTGAACTAAAATATTCTAGCCAACTCTGCGACGTGTCTGCTTCAGTAATGTTGCCATAGACTGAGGAAATGTTCAGCTAAACCGAAGATGAAGAGTGAGACAGATCTGCTAATGCTTCGAAGACAATTTTTTCCAAATTAAGCACAAATCGATTCACGGTTATCAAGCTTACTTAGAATGCCAGGTCCGTCCGGGCAGTTGATATGGAGATTTCATGTTATTGGTGCAAGCGGAATACTTTCATTTTCCAAGTGCAGCCTTGCCAGGCCCTTCGATCTTGAGCTGCGCAGCCCTAGTGAATCATGCTATAACATGGTGACTAGTACCCAGTTTTTTGGCAATTTAAGCCAAATTCAGGGCTAAAAATGTTAAAAATTGAGCACGGAAGAAACTCTGTAATTCTTAACGCACAGAAACGGGAAATGAGAAATTCAATTGTTCAGAGGAATTTTTCTTTTAGATCAGGCCAGAGTCTAAATTTTTATAGAAGGCACAATTTGCATAAAAGGTAAATGACCGCTGATTCTGCAGCAACGAACAGCCTAAAAACTGTAAGATCATTGCTTTTTAGAACAAAAATTTTTTCGTCCTGTTTTTTCGGGCGAATTCATTGATATGCTAGATAAACAAACAGCGGGCAGTCTGAGGCAGTACGAGGAAGCACAAGTCAGCAGAGAACGATTCGAACAGGGCGATGATCATGATTTGATGTCGCTTTCAGATTTAATTCAACAAAGTAGCAAATTGAAATGACTTTAAGGGTCCACTTATTTTCTCTAATATCTCTACTTTGGAAATAACAATAGACTCAACGAGATGTTGAAACACTAGACAAGATTTTTATTAGAGCATATCGAAGGTAATTTCGGAGAAATTTGAACAAGTGACGGGAAAACACACTAAAAATACTTTTTATTAGTTATCAACGTAATAGTTTATTAATAGTGCTGTAATTGACGTTACATTCAACAAATGAAAATGTTCAAGCAGACTAATTTGCAGAAAACTGAGAACAAACCAAATGATTTGCGAAAAAAAGCACTTTCTTCTCTCCATTGTTTATGTTAGCATACTTAACGACTGAGTTGCAGTACATGTCCGCCTACAAGAAGAACTGCTATCAGCAGAAGAAGTGGAAGAAAGACTGGAGACCACTAACAGGAATATCAGCGAACGGATGGACGACTTAGTACAAAAGATGAAACAGTTTGAGAATATCGACACACTAAAATCTGAGACAGAACTGAAACGCCAGGTATTTGCAGAAGGAATAATTTATGGAGCACGTTAAAACA